TAGAGGCGAGGTCTCGCCAGCACCAGACACTGAGGCGGAGAGTGCGGTAGGCGGCTGGGGTGTGACAGTTGGAGTGGGATATGGAGGCAGACCCGTTGCGACGGGGCGTGAATGAAGTGTGTTGTTGTCGATGAATCCCTGAGACGTCCCAGCCGGTGGTGGTACTCTGGAATCTGGAGCTTGAGGTAACGTAACGATAAACTTTGTTTTAGGGTCCGTCGCGTCCCATTCATCAAGCAACTGCTTCCAGGTATTACGAACAGGTGGTTTGTCCTCACCCTCCTGGCGAACAACGTGTAATTCCCTGTCCTTAAATGGCCTCCCAAGGCCAAATGAGTTGTGCAAGACACCATGGGCGTCTGAGGATGCTGCTCGTCACCAGAAGAACCAAGTTACATTTAATTTGTGTACCTTTCACGAGATATGACCCTCGCTCCCCCAGCTTGCATATATTCCCAAATCGCTGCCTCGTGTCCGCGAGCCATACACAGGACAGTTCGTCGATGTACATGACGAATTCATCGTTCACACTGACAGCCTGTTGGAGTGGCTTTGCGCGCGGAAAATGAACGAAGGGTGGAAGGTACTCTGAGGTCTTCGGTGTCGACTACAAAGGTAAAGTGCCAGATAGATGAATACAAAAAAAGTTAACGAAGATGAATTGCTGCGCGGGATTTGGCGCTACAAGAGTCGAGTGTCAAATACTTAGAGGAAATAAAGGACGTAAGAATCGGGTGCACTTACACTGGGGAAGGGGACCCATGAAATGGCCTGCAAGCGACACCTTCACCTGGTCTATGTACTTTGAGACGGGGTGGACGGGGGAATAGACTGATTGCCTTAGCATAGACCTCTGGGTCGAATAACGGCAGGTGGTATGATCCCTGTATTTATCTAGGGCTGTACGGAAGGCGGCTAGTTATCTTGAAATCTCCCCACTTTTTATTGCGCGGACTTCGGGGGCGTCGGCAGCTTCCCTCCAGCAGCTTGACCATGCTAGCGCACAGACAGTTTCGTGGAAGGCGCAGCCCGCTTTCTTCGGAGGTGGTGGAACATTCACAGATATTTTCTGCCAGAATTCAGTGAAGGACCAGTATCCCGTCATAATCCTGGCCCAGTGACGATCTGGAGGGCAGGATACGGAAATGATGATGCCCCACTATGATTGCCAGGCTCGTGGGGAGCCCGAGATATCTCGCAGAGAAACAAATAATACATGTCGCCAAGGAGGGATCTACAGTTGCATTGTCTGGCGATGTCCAGAACTTCCGTCATGTGGGGAAATGAAGGTTGGGCCTCGAGTTGGGCGATCCAAGATTTCCGAATAGCGTCGCGATTGACAAATTCTGGGCTGCTGTCTTTCTTGTACTCTTCAGGTCCGCATATCCGCGTCAGTCGCAGAAGAGGGGCAGTGAGATCGACAGAAAGGGAACGGAACGACTCTGGGTGTTGGACGATGATGGTTTGAATACCGCGAAGTGCCAATTCGACGAACGTCGACATCGCATATTTATGGGCAAACAAGCCACATTCGCTAAGGAAAACCACGTCGCCGGGACGGTATGCTTCGATTTGGGTTTGGAGGGGACTGTGATGGATGATCAGCGACAAGATACTGAAGAATGAGAGGGAGATACGCCTGGCATAGGCCACTTTGCGACATGCACGGATCTGGACGAGTGTATCTCCAGCCAGCACGATAGGATTGGAGGGATCGAGTCCCTGGGGCACGCCGGCGCCGGCTGGCATTGCAAGTATATCGTGGAATACTGAATCCTTGTCTCGCAGCAGAAGAAAAAGGTGGACCTTCAGGACAAGGAGATAAATCCCGATGAGGGGTTTCAAACTTCGAGGATCCATACCTGAAAGATATGATTCTCGACCTGTAGAGAACATACGCAGTCGTGGACGCTGAAGCTTTCTGGCTTCGATCGGGCTTCCGTCCCCAGTAACCAGCCTTCTTCGTCTGGCCGGCGGACCAGGCGCGGGGTTGGATGCGGATTCCTCGCGAGCTCTTCGTTACCCATATCTACGAATGATTATAAGAAACGAGTACGAAGTTAGAACAAAGGAATTTTTTTTTCATGATCCCCGTCATCGTCATAGGGCCTACCCGAGTTACGCCGAGGCCACGTGGGCCTTTTTCACTTAGCGCGCCTCTAAGACTTACTACAGCCGCTCTTGCTGCCATTCAGCCCGGTACATCTGGTCGATCTCAAGTGCTGCCGCGGTTATCGACTCATCGTCTTGTTCATCTCGCGTTTTCCCACAAGAACCCCCGCGCCAGTTCTCAGGCTTTTCATTGGCTTTCCCCGAGCTTTCGAGTTTCTAGCGAGAAGAGAATTCTTCGAGCCCCGGTTCTGCTCGTGGCCGACAAACTATGAACCGTACCCACGGTCATACTGGGATTCATGTCAGCGATGGCAGTGCTTTTAGCACTGAAAAAGTATCTTAAACCGGGAACCCCGCTGTCATCTTTCTTTGGCTGTGCGTTGGGCTGCACTACTGGCCGGCGAGGTGGGTCCTGCCACATACCTGCCACTCCTTTTAGTAATTTCCCTCCCGCTCGCGAGATGGGCGCCGACATCCGCGGTTCTATTTGATGGCGCACAGCCCCGCCAGGTTATTATGCGCGAACTGTGAAATTCCGTGGTTTCTCTGCTCCCACCATCTCGTCTTGCTCGAGCTTCACCTCAGTCCCGCCTGGAATGACCAGCGACAACGTCACTGACGTGGAGTTGCTGCAGCTGGTCGCAGATTCGAGAGTCACTGGATATCTCGCAGGCGAGTGCTGTGTACTTCCTGTCGCCTAAGCGCCTGCCGCTCATGGCTTCCTCAGTAGCCGCTGTATGCATCCTCGCGTGGGTGTAGTACCCAGCCGAGACTGACCTGTCGTGCATTTACGCCGCTGTTCGCAGATATGACCACATCGTTTGCATTCCCGAAGAGGTCGGTGTATTTCAATTCATGAATGTCACGGACTGATTTCCCCCCCTACAGGTCGAATTAATGTGGAAAAGCCGTTGGGGGATTGCCAAAATTATTTACGTGCGTGATTTCGATCTCCCCTGAAGTCTTCGACTTATTGGACGCAGCTGTGGAATCGCTACTTCAGTCTCATCACCGTGAGGTGGGAATCCTGAATTGGGCCCTTGGTCGCCGGCTAATTCGTGGTTTTCCCCAGCTTGAACGCAAGTGGTACGCATACCAAGAGCATCCCCTCCTCCCCCCATTGACGAATCGGGCTCGTAAGTCATCGTCAGGGATATCAGTTCATCACATGTGCGTATTCGGACACTCCCAATTCGAGTATCTCACTAATACCACAATACCAGGCGTAGGTCTTTCATTTGTGATGGGAGATCCTAGATTGAACGGGTTCAAAGTTGCATAAGCTGGTTGAAGGTCCGTACCGTTGATTTTATAGGTTTAGAGGTCTCAAACGCTGATGTCTTTGCTCAGGTACAAGGATCGTCATCAACAATCCTGGTAGCGACTGTGGACTTCGTTCTCATGCTCAGGTATGCCAAATCCCGGACCTCTCAATGCCAAGATACTCACTCCGTTTGAAGGGTTTGGATCTTATATGGGAGACAGAGATGGATGGTGTGGTTCTTTGCGTTCCTCGGAATCTGTACGCGCTCCGGCACCTGTGTACCCCGTATCGCGGCTAACGTCGCACAGCTGAGGTCGTCATCATGTAAGTGTTCTCAGACCGCACCAGTGATCCTCACCGCAACGGGCTTAGGATCGTCGTCGATATTTTCGCGTTTGCGCAAATGCAAGGTCACCTGTTTTTCCCTCTATTCGTTGGGCTTCGTACTTATTCCGCTTAGAATACGTCCACCTGGGGTACGCTATATTTTCTCCTCGCACTACCATCGTTGTCTCACGGCCGCAGGTCGATCATCAAAGGATGTTATGCCTACAGTGTGTTTGACTGCCTCAGAGGAGAACGTAGCTCATAATTTGTCTAGATGTCCCGAGGTTCCTCACTCTCTACGCCGCTGCTCCGCTTCTTGTCGTGCGTCCCTCGTTCACCTCCGTTGAATGCAGGCCTGACGCTCCCGGCCACTTCCAAGACCTTCATCATGTTTGCTATGACACTGTATAAGTGCGGGTGGACATTGTACCAGACCTACCACCGTGCCATGCCCATCTGGAAGCTCTTTCTCCGCGACGGCGTCGTGTGGTTCTTGCTCGTGTTTGGTGGGTGTTTCCTGCCTCTTTGTATCACTGATCATTTAACGAAGCCTACAATTAGGCGCAGCGGGTTCAGAACTCTTGATATGGACCATGCGGAGGGAGACTTTGAAGCAAGTGCTCCTCGTGTGAGTGCTATCCACCTGAAGTCCTCCAACACAGCTGATCCTTATGTAATCTATTTAATCTATTCAGCCCTGCCCTAGTGTGAGTACCGATTGATCGTCTTGCATACCACTCACTCAATTAATCTTGTGGATGGTCCAGGGTGTATTCGACCGTGGCCTCACGGAGCCTCCTCAACATAAAAGCAATCTTGTCTCGTGAGCCAGATGAGCTGCAGATCGACGAGATTAGCGTGTCGCAGCCTATTGTATTTGTCTCGGTATAATTGTTCCCACTTGTAATGTATCATTGAATCTTTATAACCAACTTCCTACCAGCTGCAGCTGCGATCTAAAATTTACACAGGAGGATGGTCCAGTTATTATTGACCAAGTATCTAGTTAAAAGCGTATATAATTGATATTCGAGGCCACCGGCGAATGCTCAGTGTTCAGACAATTCATGCCTCTTCATCGACTGTTCCGCTTTTGTGGTGGACACAATGTTCGCCCCAAGCACCTGTCCAGGATGAATCCAAGCGGTGGATATACGTCTCATGTACCGGGATGGGCGAAAGCACTGCCGATGTGAAGTTGACAAGGCGCAACAGAATATCAACTGATCTCGGATTTGCCGAACTCATAATCTGCCACGTCCTCTGCAAACACTCCTACCCGTCGCAATTCGGCATCTGCCCCCTGGCCCAGTTGGTTAAGGCGCACGACTGTTATTCCGGGCCCAGCGTTTGGAGCTTCGGCAGTAAAAATCCATCATTGGCCATCGTGAGATCGAGAGTTCGAGCCTCTCGGGGGCAGGGATCTTCCATTTTTGCCTAGATGACCTTCTGGGGAAGTCCGCGGGGACTACGGGAAGACACAGAGCCCACGGGGGGATCGGTCAGGTCTTCATCTAGTCGTTTTCAACTTTTTTCTCTTCCCATCGATAACTGTCAACAACCCTACCCTGAGCCCGCAATCAACCCACCCTTGCTCATCGAGGAAGACACCGAACGTCTGAAGAACAACAGTTGAATGCTACACAATGAATCTACAGCCAGTGCTGCCAGCTAATTGCATTAGTGCCGTTCAAAGTTTCCCTTTTTAGCTCCTGTTTGCGCTCCTGGTTCGTTTCCTGTTTGCTTCCAGGAGAACAACCAGGAGACACAAAAAGGGATCAAGTAGGGAAGATTTTGCAACCAGGAGATACACGTGTCCCTTTTTGCAAAGTTGTCCCTACTTGGTCCCTTTTTGCGTTTTCCTGCTCGGTTTCCTACTCAACCCCAATCAATCTCCGCTTCGGCACACCCTGCCTTTGAGCCTTTGCTCCGAGAGTTCCTATTCTCTCGCCGCACGGCACACTCCATGGATTGTGCACCCTAACTTTTTGACCTACCGCTCTGTATTCTCTTCAGACTTGAGTCAGAACATTGATGTATGCCGAGCTATGCCGAGACCTAGTCCCAGTTCGATAACACGATACCCCGCGACCCCGCAATTCAGCCTCTCGCAGGGTAGTAGGGAACACATTGCATCTATGACTCTATGTTCGCTTTGACCGAAGGCGGCCGCCGCTGCACTGTGCGGGACACGTACACGCAGAGCAGTGACGGCGCGTGAGCCGCCTGATGTCACTGAGCTGAGTTTGAACTTGTCGAGAGGTCGCCGACACATGCCGAAGTGTCGCTTCAAGTAGGAACACTCTCCTACTTGCTTCCTGGTTCAAAAATCCCAGCCCTAGGGTTTCAAACATGCTCCTTTTTAGCTCCTGGTTGAGTTCCTACTTCGTCCCTTTTTGCCCATTTTACTGCCAAAAGTACAAAAAGGAAGCAATCAGGAGCGCAAACAGGAAGTCAAATAGGGCCAACTTTGAACAGCACTATTGATAACAGTACTGTCGAGTGCCCACCGCTGAAACAGTGCCCGCCCGCATTGGACTTGACACAACTCGGCTACCCGGATTTGGCCTCAATTGATTGGGGGGAACTAAATCGGGAGATATGTGTACGATATGCAATGGTAGTGAGGAGCTAGGAAAGTACCAGAGAGCATCCGAGTCCGGGATAAAATCCATTGGGGGACCCTGGATCAACTTTGATGGCGTGCCGAATTTCGATGAAATTTCAGGCTGCGGCCTCCATTCGCTTCATGATATAAATACTCCTCCATGGCGGTGCTCCTTCTTCATAGTTCGGGTCAAGCCAACACCCGACCTGTGTTGGACGACTGTGATATTCAATTTACCTCCTGGACCATCGCGGATTCCATAATCGGCAGTGTGTTCGAGTGTCGATATCGAGGCATCCTTCTTATTTCTTTCACACTGAGGCGCGTCCAATTTTCTCTGGTTTCCCTAGCAGTACGAGTTGATTCGACCCTGCTTTGATGTGACTCATACATATGTGCGGATACAGCATGCAAAGCGCCGGGCCGTTCAGTAGGTCCCCGAACTGAGCCGCGACTTCAGTGCCGAGGAACTAATTATCAGCATGTTAATCCTTGACTCGGTTAATCCTGCAGGTCTCTTCTCGCGAACTTGGCAAAGGTTAATATTTTTATGGAATTTCGGTCATTTCGGCTATATTCGGAGTTACAGCACCCATCGGATCCATCGGCTGACCAGAGCGTCACAGGAGATAACGTCAGATCTCGTGTCACGGATTGCGATTTCCTTCCTTCCACGAACGACAGAACCGTACTCTGCGAGCAACATCCATTGGATCCATAGTCCCCAGCTACCCCGATTCTCACAAGGGTGAACTCACCAGGGACGGCTAACTCCTCCCCGCAATCCCCCTTGCCGACGGTAACCACGTGCGACCTCTCAATTCTGTATATCAGTTGACTGAGGCCTACGCAGATAGTATGGAGGAGATCCGTGCCATCCCCCCAATTCATCGGCTCCCAGCTGAAGTCCTCGGGGTTATTTTCTTTCTGACACTGCCCTTGGTCGACCCGAAATTCTTCACCTATGCGATGATTCCTAATTCCGCGACCGGGCTGGGGGAATCCATCCTTGCTTTGTCCCGCGTAACCCGATCCCAAAGTCCATGGCTGCTTGGACAAATTTGCAGCCACTGGCGGGGAATCGCGTTATCTGATCCGACATTGTGGTCATGGCTCGTCACCTCCGGTCCCACATTTGGTGCTTCACCGCTGAATACTCAACTCTTGCGATCCAAAGAAGCCCGGTTGCATGTCTGCGTCGGAAATGTTGGCGGGTATTCCTCCGAGACACCGCGGACGCTTGCAGCACTCTTTCGATCCTCGGAACGTTGGGTCGATGCCACCATTTGCATCAACTGGCAAAGGCACAACGAGGATCTTGAAGCGTTGAAGGGCCGTGTTGGGAGTCTCGAAATGCTGGAGGTCCGGAGCGTGTGGACGGACTACGCGAATACCGCCTTCGAAGAGGACGACCGGCTGGTCGCGTTTTCTGTCGCCCCCCGCCTCCGCGCCCTTCGTGTAGTCGGAATATGCGACCCCGCGAGCACGCTGGTCCTTCCTTGGCACCAATTGACGAGATACCAGAACGCCGGGAGCGTCGAGGACCATCTCAACATTTTCGACTTCTGTCTAAATCTCGTCGAAGCAGACCTCACTTTCCTGGCGTCTCTCCAGTCCGACGCAGATTACACAGCGGACTGGCGAATGGATCACCTGCGCAAGCTATACGTGTCGGAAACCGCCTTCCTCGGGTACCTGTCCCTGCCCGCCCTGGAGGAGATCGTCATGGACAAGCGGGATCCCGTCGAAGACGCCCTCCTCCCTCTGCTCATGCTCACCCGGCGCGATAACCCGCCGCTTTCCTCCGTCTCCCTTCGTTCCGGCATCCTAACCACCGCCACCTTGACAGCCCTCATCGAAGAGAGTGGCGCCCTGAACACCCTGCGCCTCCGCGTTCGGACCGCCGACACGGACGTCCTCCACGAGCTCGTGTCAAACTTAACAGCCACTTGCGCCTCCGGCGCCTGCTTCGCACCGAGCCTGAGAACGCTCGTGCTCGAGATCCGCGGCGTGTTCAACGACACCGCGTTCATGGATATGGTGGAGCTTCGCCAGCGGCAGGTGCTCCCCTGCCACCACAGACTCGCCTTTGAGCGCGTCGGCCTTGCGACGGGTGCGAGATCTGCACGGGGCTTTTGGAGCCGGCACGCGGGGCGTGTGGCCGCATTGCGCCGCGGAGGCTTGTATTTCTGGCTCGATTCTTCGTCTGCCCCCGGCGATGTGTCTCGGAAATGGCGGGATTGATAGTGCGTTCTGTCAACGCCTGCGCCATCCTCAGCCTGATCATCCCTCCAGGACTTGTGTATTTATTAAAGGTAGACACTAATGTCATTGAATCGGATCTACTTTTCTGTTCATCCCGGTTTCCACCGCCATTCTCTCCCTGATGGAAACTCCATTCATTTCACCGATTTCTGCCGCCGCGTATACTGCGAAGGTTCCGTTCCAGATTCTATCGTGGTTATGCTGCCGATGGCCCCGGTTGTCAATACGGATGAGCCCTCCGTCGGAACTATGCTGTTGTCTCTGGCGGTGGGAAATGACTCGTCAGGACTCAGTATTGGGCTGAGGACTCCCTCGGCAGGAAAGCGCACATCGATGAGAACTAAGCCCAGAAACAGCATGAGCGGCGTGGGCGGTGACCCTGATTATGTCTGTGAGTCCGTGATTTATATAAGCCGCTACACCGGAAAGGAAGAAATTCACCGAGTTCTTATGTCGCCGGAGTTGCAGGGAACATTTAGTGACAGGTCAATGAACGTCAATTCAACAGATAACATGCATGCTGCGTCTTACACAGGTGAGTGAGGCAATTTCCAACCTAACCCAGTTTGTTGTGTGCGAGTGGCCAATACTCTGTTCAAAACCGATCTTTGCGGTCCAATTGGCGCCCAGAGGAGCTGATTAGCGCCCGGAATTTCCATATCAACGAAACATCAACACCTGATCGCCGTGAGGTTCTTCTCATCCCATCACCACCTCGCCCACTGTACGATGCACGAGACAGAGAAAGGCAAGCTCCAAGACCTCCGTAAGTCCTATTTGCCACTATCGTGAGCGAAGGGTTGACCAGTCCAAGCTCCCGACCCTAGCCACGAGGCTGCGGCCGCGAAGCTATGGGCGGTATATATCTCCGAAGCAGAAAAATACGACAAGAGCCTTGTGGAGAGCTGGAAAAACGATATGGAGGGAATGCCCATCTTTGTACGTTGCGAGGCTATTCATCAATTCTCACTCTGATCAGTGGCCTCACTCAAGGCGGGTCTTTTCTCCGCAAGTTTGACTGCGTTCCTGATTGAAAGCTACAAGACCATGCTTCCCGACACCGGAGACACCACGGTTATCCTATTGGCTTAGATATTGAACCAGCTCGCGGCCGCGACGACAGGGACAATTCTCACCATCGCACCTGCGACCCCCTTCACGCCGTCAGCGACCTCCTTCGTCTGCAATATTCTGTGGTTTATCAGTCTTGGGCTGAGTTTGGCTTGCGCCCTTATCGCGACTCTTCTCGAGCAATGGGCACGCGATTTTTTGCACAAGGCCGACACGCAGTCGGCTCCAATCATCCGCGCCCGTGTCTTCTCGTATCTGTATTACGGGCTCAGACGGTTCGGCATGCACACTGTTGTCGAAATCATCCCCCTCCTACACACCTCATTGCTCTTCTTCTTTGCCGGCCTTGTCGCATTCCTGATTCCCGTCAATACAGCTCTCACTGTCGTTGCTGGCATCCTGTTGGCGATCGTGACGGGTGTTTACTCCCTATTCACCATCTTCCCGGTGGTGTATCTCGACTGCCCATATCATAC